ATACCATATAATTCATTGTGCGGGGAACTCCAACAAAGAAGTGTGGTGAGCTGTGATTAAAACATGAAATGACTTCAGTTTAACATTTACCATCAGTGATGATTTCAGATCTGCTTCCAGTAGCATGAAGTAGAGGGATAACCAGTGCCGCTGGCACTGTCAATATTTTGTTACATCTGGGAGCCCAGATGTTGCAGTGATGCCAGCTGCCTGTGTCTGATTGTTAGGGCTAAATAATATTTCAACAAATATTACTTTCAAACGAAAAGCGTTACAGTTTAAATACAGTCGTATTAAGTTTGCTAGTTGCTATACTTAATTTACGTGGAATATCTCCTTGATCCTGTCGTAATAAGTCATTTTTCTAATAAGAAGAGGATTTTCCCATTCACCACACTGGATGGCACTGTGTACCTCACTTAGTTCTTTCTATGCAGAAATAATCAGTGAAAATACCATATCCTGCTGCAACAAGCACAAACACCTGGTAGTAAAGCAGCACTCTGCGAATAACATGACCTTCATTAATCATTTTAAGAAACAGGGGTTTTAGAGTGGGTTCAGCTGGCATTTACAGATCATTCTCTAGAAAAAGGCGTGTTTTCACCACAGCCACATTTTCAGGTTACTAGTTGCCATCCTTCTGTCATCTCTTAGTGATTTCAAATATTTATGGTCCACAGCAAAATATTTTTTTCCTGAGAATTTCAGTTCTCTCCTGGTCTGTCTCGAGGAAGAAAATTGCACAGACAGAAACGGCACCGAGAAACACACAAAGGCAAACACACATACAGCCGCATCTCTACAAAGCATATTAACTGTGCACTGCGTCTGACATTTCAGTGAAAGTGCCAAAGATCTCTGAAAGCATTTGCAAGCAAAATTTTAAGCAACACCGAAACTAAAAGAAAGGCTTTCACAACAATTTTGTTTGTTCTAGATGCGTGTCGGTGTTCTGGAGGAAAGAAACGGCAACACTACGGTAAATGCATTTGTGCTAGATTACCACGAGCTTGGCTTTCTTCTTTTTTTAATTAGATCTGCTAGAGTATCTCAAAAGTATACACCTTAGACAAGAAAACAAAGTGGTCGTTTTAAGCAGATGGTCGAGACTCTCTAAGCCTTTATGCAAATGAAGTTTAAAGGAAGTTCAGCTAATTCCTTGGATTGGCAGCAGCTTTCCAGTAGAACACACACAACACGCAAATACACACAGTGGCTTTAGGGTAGACACACTGTGCAGCTGAATGTCTTTTTGTTTCTTTGAATTGGATATCATCTTGGAAGGGAAGAGGTCAGAGATGACCGGTGTTGAGGGTTTAAATGTGAGGGTTACAAATTCAGACACACAGATTCAGTAAAAGGACTAGATGTTACAATCCCTGACAATGCATTGCTTTAAATGGAGAAAATCTTGAGGGATGGCTGTTATGAGGAAAAGCAGCCCAGAAACATTACCAGCGGCACACATCGTTGTGTGCCTCAACTTTCGTTCTTTTACCCAAGCTAATCTGCCATTTTTCCTTGGCTAGTGATTAGAGATCTGATAAAAATTATTATACTGAAATTTGGGACACATCGTCAGTAGTGGACCTTGGATTCATCGGGTGTTTCGGCCATTCGTCACTGGACACCCTCATCCAAGGAGGCCCTGCCAGGGTTGATCAGGCCCTGGAGTGTGTCACTGGTTTATGTTAAAATTGTTATTTCTCTTCTTCTTTCTGCTGTTTAGTTTTCTACAGTTTATTCTATCTATTCACTGCAACTGAGAAATACTTACCTCTTTAACATTTATGGAGACTCATTTCTTCAAAGGGACAGAAAAGGTGATAGAGAGAAGTAAGACAAGTAAGTAAGATAAGATAGGAGAGAGCAGAGAGGAGAGCCGGAAGGGGGGCGCCCGATCTGGCTTCCCACACCTCCCCGCCGGATCGGGCTGTACGAATGTGTACAGTGTACAAATGTATTCTTAACCCTGGAGAACCCATGGGGTCAAATTTGACCCCATGGGTTCTCCAGGGTTAATGGACCAGTTTCACTTTCTATAACATTGTTGCTTGCAGTGCAAAGTTACGAGATAACAGTTGCTTGTCATAATAATCCACCATGAAGCAAAACACAGTTTATCCTTCATTATGAATGGACCGATTTCACTTTTGACATAAAGCCATAAAACAAAGGCATTCTATAAACATCTTAGAGCCAGTAAGCCCAACTCCAATCAATGGAAAAGCTTCAAAGAAGAAAAGACAGTTTTAACACAGACCCTACAAAAACGAGCAAATTTAAGGCAAAGACAAGAAACAAACACATAAATTATTGGATATTCATTAAAATAAATTAAAATGTAATTAAAACCAGAATCAATGCTATTTAGCCTGAAACAGAAAAAGCTGAGCGTCAGATTATTGGATTATTAGGATACCAGAAACTGAAAACAACTTGAAGAACTGAGAAGGATAAGAGTGACAACAACCTTAAATTGAGAGTGGTAAACACAGAAAGGCCTGGCAGGGTCAGTTCCCAGAACAACAAGAGAGGCAGACAGAAGATCTCAGGCAGAGGCAGAGAAAGAGGCAGAGGGCATATTGGTTTATTTGTGAAGAGAGAAGAACCTGGACAGGAGAAAGAGGTGCTTCTCTTATTAAAAACAAGGAGGTGTGAGTTTTTCTGCTTACCTTTTGAAGCTCTTTTGCTACATTACACTGCCCTTGAAGTCTTTACAGTCCATTACATGTGGTTTAGTCAACTTCACAAATGCTGTTTTTATGAATCTGTAAAGACAGATTAGCAATAGTAGGCTTAAAATATGCACGACAGCAGCCCAAAATCATTCGACTGGGCATCTGTGATTTTCTGTTGGGTTGTATCAAAGCTTAAATAGCAAGGCATGCATACCAAAATAAAAGCTAAGAACAATTCCTCCAAGTTGAAAATGAAACACAGTTGTCCACAGTTGCGAAATGGAATGGAGTACATCAGGAGCATAAAGAATATTTGAAATGGTTGTTATAAAAGTGAAAACTCTACACTCTATTTGGGTTTAAAAGACAAAGCAATTTTTGTTCTTCTGGATGAAAATACTTCAGTCATTTAGTAGTGGTGTTGTACTACTTAAATGAAGCATGAAGAGTTTCACCTAGAATATTCTGTCGGTGGATGTTTGTTCATTTTAAAACAAGAAAAGTTTCTTTTTTTTTCAATTTAAAACTCTTAATAGCTTCTCGAAATAAGTTCTTGCAGAGGTTTTGAGCAAATAACGGACAAGTCTCCAGAATAAGAGGCCAACCTGTGCGCGACTGTGTCAACCGCTGCTCAAGACTCCTTCAAATGATTGCATAATTACTGAGTCTCAGGAACTCCCTTTCATTCCCGCTTTTCACCCAAGATGGTGTTTGCATTATTCTCAGGAAAAGAACTAAAAACATTATCTCAGGTTTACAGGTGCACATGAGGTCTCTTTGTTCTGTTTGTTTGGAAATGCATTTGTAAAGTACTTTAGCAAAATATCTCCAACCCAGTGCAAAGCATGTGCAGAGCAGCCCTGCTTGAACAGTGCGTGCAGCGTGCCTGGACTTGGAAGTTTTAAGAGATGCCAGGGATCAAAGTTGACTTATTGATCAGTTCTGGAGTAAGGCTAGGCTACAAGTATGGACAACCTTTTTTTTTTCACCCAGTAAAGACTCAGACATTGTGCAAAAAAGTGGTGCAGCAAATAAACACAATAGTTAAAAGAAGAAGGGAACAAAAGTCAATAAATCAGGTTAAACACAAACTTGTTGGAATGTCAATTAAATGGAATTTCACTTTTAAAAAATATATTTATATTTAAGACAAATGAGCTCATTAGGAGTGTTCTCCAACAAACACCCATGCTATAACAGAAATGACAGTATTTCTCTAATTAAAGTCCACCCACTCAATAATAATCGTGATGAGTGAAAAATCTTTTAAAGATAGATTTGGCGTGTCGCAGAGAGCTCAGCTGCCTTAAACACGCTTGATGTATTAGTTTTTTAATAAACACGCTGACATTGATTTTTATTTGTGGCTCACGCAGAAATTTGTCTGTGTGCTCTGGGCTAAACGCATAAGTAAAATTAATTCTGTTTCACTGCATGGTGTTGTTTTTTATTGAGATGTACCCTTCTGACTCCCCTATGTGTTGGAGTGGGTGCATTCAAGGAGACACAGCTGAAAACCAGTTAAACTACAAAGAGGCCGGACAAGGTTCGATGTCTTTGAAAACTGCACTGATTAAGATTTATTTCCCAGCCCACACAAATCTATATTTCCCTTAACTGCCTGGGTGTAAATGCAAAAACTAAAGATTTTAAACCAATTTCCAAAATTGAGAAAAACATGGCATATGAGTACTTCTACCTTTCCTTAGCTGTTCTAACTAAAGACAAGGGAGTATTCAATATGACTAATAATCTTAGAATTAATAGGATGAAAGTCCTTGTTAGAAAAGTGCCTTTTTAAAAAATGTCGTCCACAGCTTCCCTTAAGCGCATAAGAACAGACTTCACATTTCAGTCTTCTTAATTAGAGAGTAGATTTTTTTTTTTTTTTAAAGAAGCAGTTTGCTTGGATCACTTATTAACCATGAAACACTATTACCCTGAAGTGTGCAATTACACTCAACCGGGTCATTAGAAAGTGTATATGTTACACCACTATTTGGATGACATGAGACTGCAGCCGTGGGTGTGCAATGAGCACGAAAAGCAAGAGCAAAGAGGTCTGATTTTCTTTTGTTTTCTGGTGGAAAACGGGGGAAATCCAGCAGACAACAAGAGAATTTCTTGCTGAGATAGCCCAACATAAAGCAATAAAGCTACACGGGAATTGCCTCAAAACATCCTGCAGTGGCCAAGTCGGAGTCCAAACCTCACTCCACTTAAGAACAGTGGCAGGACTTGAAAATTGCCTTTTATTCACCATCCCCAGTGCAAGCTGACAGCTCCAGAGCAGTTTTACAAGGAAGAATGGGGTGAAATGCTTGTCCAAAACCTCTAGCTGCAGTGAGTTCAAACTTTGAAGTGGTGAATAGCATGTTTACATAATTTTGTTTTACAACTGTGCTTAATTTGTATCATGTTATTAAGTTATGAAGACGTTGCATTAATTCATTTTCTTTGTCTCACTAAAAAAAAAAAAGCTTAATCACCTACCTTCTACCTTTTTTCCTACTTAGACGCACGTGTGTGTCACGTGTTTTTTTTCGACACATCTATAAAGTTGCTCCAGCTTTTCAAGCTTAGCCTTTATTTGTTTATTAAATCGTTAATTTCTATTAATATTAGTATTTTTGCCCTGTCTTTATTATATTACATGTATCTATATTAATCAAAATATAATTGCAAAATGTTACCGATCGACGTTCCACGGATGTAGTTTTATTTTGGAGATCGTCACCGGAAGTGCGTTGTTGTATTCCCGCATTTTGACAATTTAAATTGATCGTGGAGCACTTACAGCCACCATGCACACGCCCGGGATCCCTACCTGTTATGCGATGTGTTATGCGATGACACTGACAAAAAATATTTTCTCGTCTAATTTGTCTCGCTTTGCATTTTTTGTTTGACATTGCCGAGCCGGATTTCTTTTATTAATTTGTTTGTTTTGCTCTAGAACTATATTTGTGGATGGGGAGCTGGCACTTTGCGGAGAAAGATTTAGCTGGAGCGCTTTTACGCATCTGAAATATTGGAGTGTCGTTGAAGATCCCATTTTACAACAATAAAGAAAGGAAAAATCTTCCCGTTGACGAGAAACTGTGCTTTATATGGGCTGCACGATGAAGTACGGACCGGTGGTTCTATCGGCTGGGCTTACAGGTTTGCTCAGTTTTTGCCTCCTCGCCGTAGCGATTGGGACTGATTATTGGTACATAATCGATGTGAACAAACCCAACTACACAGGTTCAGATGACCTGAGTTCCCATTCTGGACTGTGGAGAATTATTGAAGGTATGTCAGTTTAACTTCATCTTTAATGAGCTGTTATTGGGGTCTTTACAGCTGTGCGACTTGTTAAAAATCAGCCATCATGTTCACATAACTTTTGCCCTGCGTCTCACAGAGGTAATTTTGAGAAGCCTCCTCAAAAGATTATAAAAATGTAATTCTGATTTGTGCAAATTTCAAATCTCAAACTAATAGAATCCCTTAATTTCACTCTAGTTGGTTACATGCAGTGCTGCAGAGGTTTAACATTGTCTTTAGTTGCTGATGGATCAACAGCAGTCCCTCATTTAATCCTCATTGGTCTAATCTTAGGTGAACTTGATGCACGGAGAAGCTGATCTCCCAGTGCCTTTATATTGGAAATGAGAGGCATGGGGATATTCTAAATGACGGACTACTCAAATTCTTGCAACATTACCCTGAATCCACTGAAATTCAATTTTCATCCAGTGAAATGAAGCCTGAAATGTTCTAATTGTGGAATACAGTTTGGGTAGGAAAAGGGCTTTTAACAGTAGCAACTTTTACCCCACACATACCAGTTTCTGCAGCCACCTGCAGGAGAACACACAGGAGATCAAGGAGAGCTTGTGAAGGATGGTTTTGGCACAGCTGCAATATAATGTGCTTCCAGCTTGAGGTCCCGAATGTGTTCTATTTGTTTCGGGCGGCACCCACAGTTCATGCAATAAATGCCAAGTAATGATCCAACATGAAACTAATCAGGCAGTGCTCACCTGGAGATTCCCTAGCAAAAAGGGAAACTATTATTTATTTTCTAATATTATCTACTATTCCCACACTTAAAACCACATTGTTTCACATCTAAGAGCAATTTTGCAAAGTCCCAGGGCTCTGCCACTGGTCCTGTCATGTGTAACCTTTTCATTTGACATTTTCAGGAGCAAACTGGAGTTCAGTCACCCCCTCTTTCACAGCAAATATGTCCAACCTGACAGAGGCAGAAAGGCACCTTGTCGGTGAGTGGGTTCCTTGATCAAGTGATGCATTTTAAAATGGTAATGGTAGCCACACGGGAGTATGTTCTTGGCAGTGAGGATTAGAGGTCTGATTGGAAGCCCAAAACATCTGCATTTGCAAGATATGCTATGCAATTAATCACATTCTGCAAATTAACATGACGAGATTGGGGGGGGGTTCCCCCCAAGTGTGTTTTTGTAACTGATCTTACTAGATAAAATCAGTTTTGTTAGGGTTTTCAGGAACACTTCCTGCTTGCAACGTTGACAAATAAAATGCAGTAATAAACTGTCCACTGTGGGAGAAGAACTCAGTGGAGTCTCTGCTAGTTGATTTCAGTACTGACAATGGGAACAAAAAATCAGCAGGACCTTGGATGATGGGAGTCAATTGGAAAATCGCTGATTTTAAAAAAATATGTTTATATTTTTTTCAAATGTGTGTGTTTGCAGGCTTGCACAAAGTAGTGGTCATTTTGTTGCCGCTCAGCCTCATCCTCCTGGTGCTTGGCTGGATCTTTGGACTTGTCAGCTCGTTGGCCTCCAGTCCAAAGTTGCTGGCTGCGTCAGCATCCTACTTTCTCCTCTGCAGTAAGTCCCCACAGAATTCCCTTTGTTTTCTTTTTCTGAGCCCGGATTCACACCGTGTGCTCTTGCTTGTTTATGTCGGCGTGCAAGACACACAGCAAACGTGAAAACGCACGTGGGCGACACATCGTGGTCTTACAGGTACAATGCGCGTGCATCTAAGAGACCCTGAGAAGCGCGCTTTCAGCTGTTCTCTCTCACATCTGATTTGGTTGTGAGTAGAGGCTCTAGTAGTATCTAATTTCAGCCTTTATAGACAAACTGTGTGCTTGAGCTGGCCGATGGCCAATGAGAAAACGGTGATTATAGTTATGTAAATATTTTATCTTGAAGAAGACGAATCGGCAGCAACGTATTAAATATCTCTGTGCGGACATTAAAAATCCCATTCAGCTTAATTGAGTTGAGTTAGGTAATGATCTTTTCACACAGACTGTTATTAGAGTGGTGAAGATGGGGATTTAATGGTGAAAATAAGGATCCGAGGCACAGAGCACTTTTGGACTGCTGTGAGCAGCACTTCGCTCTCCTTTCGGTCTGTTCCTTATATTTTGTGAATAAACGATAAACAGCGTGAATATCTCCATTCAGATGCAGACATAATGGCATGGTGAGAGGTGGTATGACGGCATCATGTGAGGCGCCACGTGCTAAACATTTTCACTCTACCATGTTGAAGTGTTTGGTTGGGAATAAAACTAGTTGTATGTCCAACCCAACTTAATCGGGTGCTAAATGCTCTTTAACTCGACATCCCTGACAGTGATGTCTGGCATGTCGAATTGAACCCACCCGAGAATAGTACGGGTAATTGTTTGGTGGATTGATAGCTAGTGAGTCCTGTTTCTTGTCCGCTCTATCCAGACAGCACATCTCTACAACTCCCAGTTGCAAGAGCATTAATTATAACTTTGGGCGGCGTACCGACTTGATTCTCCTAACACGGTTTGTAAAGGTGGGGGGGTGATGTGTGAAAACAGCTTCAGTGTTTCCCAGTCACATTTGCATTAAATTAATCAGAATTGCAAGCTGGTTCCTGGTGAGCATGAAAATAATTTTAGAAACCATACCACCAAACATTCTCAGCATGGAGACTGACGTAATTGATTGCAGCATGGGGGCTGATTGTTGATCACAATGAAGTGGCTCAAATTTACCGAAGAGCTTGTCATTGATTGAAAGATGCAGTCAGACTTCCTCCTGGAATTACCAGTGGGCACTTTCTGATGTCATTTTCCATCTGTCCTTTTTTGCAGAAATTGGTTGCGATAAATTCTATTACGCAGAAAGTTGCTCTTATTAAGAGTCAAATCAGAAACGCTCTGCTAAAAATGTAAGTGCAAATGTGTCATAATCACGCACAAATCACACGTCATCTGCTTTTTTTTTTTTCCCCCTCCTTCCTTAAATGGCAGTGGAAGGGCCTGCTTTTGTCATCAATACTGTAACACAAATGGTTTTTTCCCCCCTTTAGTGAAGGGTTCAGCTGTTGAGCAGCTGCCATAAATATCCATCAAATAATCCATTTGATTAGGTCTGAACTCAAGTGGAATGAGACTGAATCTCTATTTGGTTGAAATTGAGGGTAAATGCGCAAATCTGTGACAGACAAAGGACTTATTATACAGTGTGCCATCTCTGCTGACATGCTCAACCTCCAATGTCACATAGAAACAGAGATAATTTAATGCTTTCTATCGAATGTCCTGTCCACGTGGGTACTCAAGGAGACCCGCAAGCACTAAGCTCTGCCACTTTCAAAACCACTGATCATATAAAAGAAAAGAAAGCGGGTATAATGGATGTCTGTGTTATTGTGCTTTCTCCCCTTATTCGGTGCATTCGCAGTAACTACGAATTTTAAGTTTGATATTTTGGTAAAGGTCTTCGTAATCCCACTCGCAGCACTGATGAATCTCTTTGGATTTTTCAGAGGGGGCAACCTGCTATAAATATAAGGTATAGCAAAGCTGACATTTCTATCTCAGGCAATATGTAATAATGTCCTTCTTTAGCTGTTCAGCTCAAGGTTTAAACTAAAAAAAAATACATTCACTCCATTCACATGGTGGTATTTTAATTAGTATTGCTTTGTCAAGTAAGCTCAACAGATGTTTAGTAAATTCCTAGCGTGGCATCAGCGGTGTAACAGCATGAGTCTCACATAAAGTGGTGCACAGATAATGTACTGTACTTGGGAAATGCACACACTTTCTTTTTGCTGATGTGCAAATTAACCACAGTACATGCAAAGGAAGACCACAGCTGTGACTTTTTATTTGTTTTGGGGGTTTTTCTTCTGCATTTAAATCATCAGTAATTAACTAGATTTAATTGCAATTGACGACTGCTCAGACTGGTTTTCCCTCCCTCTGAGTCTGACTAAAGGTCGGCCTGAATTGCTTATTTAATGGCTCAATATTTTGAGGTGTTTTGAGGTTGACGTTTAATGATGTTATTCTTGTCGGCTCGCCTCTGTGGCAATTGTTATGTGGGACATTTCATCTGTCCGTTTGGGAACACAAGAAATCAAAAAATATTAGAAGCACACTTAAGGCCAGACTAAATTTGGAGCCGCCTTTGTGGGCACGTTTCCTGAGACTGATTTGAATTGGCCGGCGCTTTAAATTGGTGCACGTGAACACGTTTATGTCTATATTATCTTAAACAGTCTACTGAGCAAAGCATGCGTTCGGGGGAAGTATTATTTGCTCATCAATGTGTCATTACTGTAATGACGTAACCGTAAAAGCCGATTAAGTGCGATGCATAAAGGTGATCATAGTGCTCAAGAGCTTTGTAATTTTCTTTCCCACTGACAGATCCGTTTCTCTGTTGCAGCTAAAAAGGGAATGTGTTAAAGTCTAATAAGGCCTTTGAGTTGATGAGCTGTCTGTCTGTACTTCATCAGGTCTTTTCACCTTGTCTGGGGTTAGCGTCTACATCAAATACTCCAATCAGGCCATGGAGGAGTTCCAGCGAACTGTGCCCCCAGAGAATCTCGTCTATGTGAACGTGTCGTTTGGCTGGTCATTAGCCACAGCCTGGCTCTCCTACAGCCTGGAGGTGGCAACAGGCCTGCTGCTCATGCTGGCTGCCAGAATAACACAAATGAAGGGACATTATGACTCTGGTGTAGCCATTGCCATGTTATAGAGTGGCACATTCTGGTTTCTGAGTGAAACTAAAGAAAGCTTCAATTTTTATCGACTTGTTTTTATTTATTTGATTAAAACAGTTGGTCACACAGGCCAGGGGCCAGGAAGATGAACCATTCTGCAAGCTGGCTTTACAAAACTGCAACTGTAGACACAGATGCTGTTGAACATCTGCTTCATCATTGTTTTCAGAGGCTAGCTGTGAGGCCTTGTTATCCTCTTGGTAGGGCTGTGCGATATGACCAAAATCTCATATCCCGATATAAGACATCTATCGTCCGATAACGATATAAATCACAAAAATGTAACTTTTTTTTTGTAAATTCTGTGAATCTCGGGCAGCTCGACTTGCATGAAGTGTTTCCAGCTGGGCGTCGTGTAGCTGGAGTCGAGTTTTTTAACCGATGCATGAAACGATACATTTTTAGACATGAGTTGTAACGGCCGCCGTTTTCTTTGTGAGTATTTATTACACGGCGTGCTGCGGGGAAAAACCTGTTCTAACGTTTGAGTCTAAAGTTTATTTTTTAGCATCCGACGTCTCTTTTTTTGCTTCTCATCCGTAAACTCTGCATACTCTTTCACGTGATTCAATTTATTTTGAAAAGTCTCAACAGGATCTTGAGCTTTATTGTGAAAGGTTTATGTGGAAAATAAACAAGCGGACACGTGATGCGATGGATTTACCGTTGTTGTTGCTAACAACGCATAAAAACAGGTGCTTGTCCGTCCATAGTGTGGTTATATTAAATATAAGAGAAAGAGAGAACTTTAAGAAATTAATATAGCCACTACAGTGACCATCAAAACGATAAAAAAAAATATTGCCGTAAACACCACGACACCACGAAACAAACGATAGCGTAAAATTAAACGATAGACGTTTTTATATCGTCATCCAATATATATCGAACAGCCCTACCTCTTGGTAACATTTTCTTTCCATATCGTCCTTGTATTGTAGACCGTGATGTTGTAGAGTAAGTCAAACCCAGACATGAAAACTAAGCTTACTCTTCCAAGAAGTTACTGTAAAGATTTGCAGTTTTATTTTCTTATTTATTTTTTTTAAATGTGTTCACATGTTTCAGGCTCGGTACTGTATAATTTGGTAAGTTAAAGCTTTAAGCAAAGGACCAGTTATATTTTATGGTTTAATTGGTTTGATGCATGCACGATAAGACTTGAGAGGACTCGAATATGGTTTAGTGTATTTAAGCATGTGTGCATCAGTAGTGTCAAGTACTTCATTCATGTAGAAACGCTGCTGATTCTGCGAAAGTAAACCACCAGGCATTAAAAAGCCACCCGGGAGACTAGACAGTATCAGACTGTAGTTTCTATTATTTCTAATACTTTATAAAAGAATTACTGCTACACCGTTTCTCCAAATGCCAGGGGAAATTTGCTTTGCACAGCTTTTTTAAAACCTCCAAAGAAATAATTTAGACGTCAAGTCATTTGGTGCTGAGAGTTTGACTAAAGCAACATCTAAATGTTAGTTTGTGCGTCTGTGTGAAACACTTCTGTAGCTAACCCACCAGTCCTTACATTAATCATGGAAATGAGGTTAAAGATAAATGCACTCCTGGGGCAACTGCAAGTTATTTTCAGCAGTAAAGAATATGTGCATGTGTCGCTGCCTGCTTTACTGTCGCCAATGACTCAATATTGTGAGATCCTGTCTGTTCTGGAAAGACTTTTCTCTGTAATTCAAATAAAGTGAACACTGTGAAAAACACAATATTAAGCATTTGCTGTAAGACTTTATGTTGTCGTCTTCTTCCTTTTTTTTTTTCTTTTTTTTTTAAAGCATTCATAACAGACCTTGTGTTTTCATAACTGAGCAGCTGTGGCAGAAAAGCCAGATTGATGTTTCACATAACTTGCAAACAGAATTAAAAAGGAGAATATTACCTGTGTTTTGAATAAAATTTCACAAATGTGTGACGATTTATGTGACAGTTTGATTATTTAAAGCCGCATCTGTTGTTGTGAGGAAATTTGATCAATTTCTTGTGCGGAGTAAATCACAACTGAACACCAGTAGGGCCAAAGAAAACTGTCTGTAAGTAACACAGTAGATGGCTTCATCTGGAGCAAGGATGAAGGGCACCCCTCAGCCTGAGTATGTCATCTCTCAGCAGTTGGTGGAGCCAAGGAAACGGAAGATGATCTTGGAAAACAAACTTCCATCCTGAATGAAATATGGCCTGTTTCAAAAGAGTGCTCATGCTTAACCAGAACCAGCAAGACTGTTTGCTGGACTTTGCTTTGTTAGACTCTTTTGCAATGGGTTATTTCAAAGGAAAGAAATACAGTGTAATCAAAACTATTGTCGGCATGGCAGGTGGCATAAAGGCGACATGATTATAGGTGAGCTTTAAAATCTTGAATTTCCTGTTAGTGTACCTTCAAAAAAAGCACAATAAACATCGATATATGCCAAATCGTTCACCACTATAGTTTTTTTTTTTTATATATAATTAATGCTTTCCATCTTTGATAAGGACACCCTTTCCAAAAAAGTTCAAAATCCTCTCAAGCATTTTACGTCTTTTTTTTTCTTTTTTTTTGGTCTTGAAGTTACTAGAATGTGGGCATCTGGTTTCTTTTGGTGGAGTCTGTGAATATAAATGAAGCCCCCAGACAGAAAAGGAAGAGTGTGGGGAGAGGAAAAAAAACTACTGGATATAGAGATGGCCACAGAGGAATTCAGAGATGCCTGAACAATATGCTGCAACGCTGCTGTCCATAAAAGATGCATTCATTCATATGCAAAGCATCCTTGCAGAGTCAAATCTCTGTGTAATTGGTTATGATTATACAACGCAGACTCAGGATAGTTAGTAGCAGCGTTGGATGGACTGAAACATAATGTCCAAAGTTGTTATATTGGATTTAGTTCAGGTGAGCGTGGAGGCCAGTCAATGGTATCAATACCATCATCCTTAAGGAACTGTCGCATGAGGCCAGGAAGAACTAAGGACACAATGCACCAACGCAGGGTCTGATAATACGTTTAAGGATTTCATTCTGGTACCTAATGGAGGTCAAGGTGCCTCGCCAGACCATCACTGATCCAGCACCAAACTGGTCACACTGAACAATGCTACAGGCAGTTCAATAAGAAGAGATCGTTAGAAGGAATTGAACATGGTTTATTGATTTACAGAATTCAGTTTGCGGTTAAAGTCCAAGAGCTCATCACAGCAGAATGGAATCCCAGTAGTGACAGGGAACTGTCACTACTGGGAGTTGTGACATTCCCACCAACAGAGTCTAGATGCTGTTGGTGGAGATAAAGATGGAGACTTGAATTGAGCCTGAGTGACAGGAGAGGAGGTGATGTGGAGAAGATTGGTTTCACCAAGGCATCTGCAAGGAAGAATTACAGATGCACAGTGAAATTTAAAGTACGCGGCGTGAAGGCTGATTGGCCCGAAGGAGGCCACTAGAATGTCACAGATGTCACAATCAGCTCAAAACATGGGAAAGTGGAAGGGATGTAAAGCTTAGATTAGCCGCCAGCACCTGGGAAGCAGACAGATGTGTGACTACAGATCTTCCTTATTGAAGTTAGGTATCATGGAGAAGATCACAATGTTCTCCACAGCTTCTTTGGACCCATTCACGTTTGTCACATGTGCTCAGGACGAACCTGCTCTCATCTGTGAAAAGAATAGGGTGCCAGTGATGGACCTGCAAATTCTGGTAACCTCTGCTGCAGGCCCAAATAGACTCCGGGATACTGGGCAGTGTACAGGGCCTACAAGGTGATGTCAGGCGCTCAGACCAACCTTGTGAAGTCAGTTTTTGATTGACCGGTCAGAGACATTCACACCAGTGCCCTGCTGAAGCTTGTTTTGCAGGGCTCTGGTGCTCCTGAAACAGATATTGATCGTGGCGAGGACCTTAAGGACCTTCTGCTGCTCTGCTAATTTTTTTATAGACACGTTCCCAGTATTGATACATTGCAAAGAAATATAAACCATACAGGTTAAAAGGCTTCATTTTTGTTCAAATAGAAAATGTGTTTACACTAAAAAATCGAATGCTTAAAACAACCTGAACTATCTGAAAGAAAACTCTAAAGGCTATTCATTATACTGCACATCCTCAGCTTTTAGCAGCCTACCTTCAACATAACTATAGGGTACCTGATAATAAGGGTCTTCCACTGGTTGCTTTCATAAACTGTGGCACAAGGAAAAAAAGTGATGGTCATAACATAAAATGCAATTTTGGCTAATAGTTTTGTAAATGGAATTTTCAACCCCAGGATATGGACCTGCATTAAACACACCTCAAACTTATACACCTCAGCACTCTAATGGGTAAAGGAGGGCAGAAGGCTTCGCTAAGGGTGCTCATGATAGAGATAGATGCTTAAGCATTAAAAGGTGTGCTTGCGTTTGCCTAAATGTGATTTGCAACATGATCTCATGTGCGTCGGCGAGTCAATCAAAACCCAAACCATGAAACATTGTGTCCACTCAGCTGTTTGTTTAGCAGCTACTGGACCAGTTTTAGATGATACAGAGAGCAGAAAGCTATAAAAGGGGGACCAAAGCACAGTGGCTCAGTCTTGCAACCCTCTTTTATATATTAGGGCTGCTGAAATTCCATTAAACTTTTATGGAACATAATAATTCAATCCGCACTGGCAGAAGAACGCCAAAGCTGATGCGAATCCATTACTCTTCGGGTTGCGGCCTTGTCCTAGACAGAGTGCAATAATTTTGTCATAGACAACCTTTAGGCATTGAGTTTTAAGAATCCATTTTTTTTCCTAACAGAAACGCTTTCTTTGATCAAAACCGAGGCTGTTTTCTAAAACTTTCAAATATATTATCAATCAGTAAATTTATCCCATTCAAGAAGTCCTTGTGTGAGATTGATTTGGCGTGTCTTTGTAAACATTTGTCATTGAAGTTCTGTTCTGGCCATGTTTTCAAGTTTAATCAGGCTTGTGTTTTTGTTTATGCCTGCACAGTTTGGCAAAAGTTTCTGGCTAATATGACGTAGTTTCAACTATTTAGAAATTATAGGAAACATCTGAACCTACTACTCAGGGATCCAGGGGCTTATTTATGCA